GCAAGCACAAGGTCCCGAGTTCGATCCCTGATACCAAAAAAAAAAAAAGAAAAGAAAAGAAAACAGAAGTACCTAAAAAAAAGAAGACGAAAAAATACTCTCAAATAGGAAGAATAGGACAAACTGGGAGCTGGGCCTGGTGGTGCACACTTGTAATGCCAGCACTCAGGAGGCTGAGGCAGGAGGTCACCAGCCTGGGCTACAGAGCAAGACCTTGGCTTTCAGAAAAAAAGATTATCATGGAGAAAAAAAGAAAAAAAGAAAGAAAAGAAATGAACATCCAAGAAGAGACATGTTTCAAGCTAGTGATGCTTTGCCAGGAAAGTCTTTCTGTCTTCGGATATTCACAGTGACTTTTGTTCCTTCATTCTTGAGCCATCCGAAGCTCCTAGAAACACCCACCTAGAAGCAGCTGCCAGCTTTTTCCACCCCTGAGGTCATTTTTCTAGGCTTGTCAGGACAATTGCTCCAGTAGAGAGACCAGACCTCTGATCTTCCCACCATAGGCATGCCAGACCAGAATCTGCAGCGTGCTGGCCTGGTGGTGGAAAACAAACTTCATTTTCGGGGAGAAGTTACACTCGGGTCTTTCTCCCCTGAACTGGGTTTCCCTCCTATTTCAGCTATCTCTCCCACCGCTTCATGCTCACTGAACAGGACTAAAAGCAAGATGAAGCAGGTACAGATTTTTTCAAAGCCCCATTTAGCCTTCCTAATGGGTCATTCACATTGAGCAATAGAGGGACAGAGTATTTTTATTTCCTGATTGACTAAAGCTGCCTGCAGTAATTTCAGCCATTTCATTACCTTCTCACCCTCGCAAATGTCACTTTCTGAGCCAGAAAGCTATAAAGCCAACATCTTAGGAGACTCAGAATTTCATTAAACATTTATTTGCATTACTCAAAAGTGAATGTATGTTAGCTTGATCATAAAATGAATGACCTTTTTTAGGGGCAGGAAAGGTGATAAAGGAAACATACTGCATGTTTGCCAGTTAATGCTGAAGGTATACAGGATTTTCTAAAATAAATAAGAGGCTGGAAGAAAGCTTCCCACACTGGGGAGGCTGGGAGAGTGTGTCCATGAATGGAGACTGAGAGGAATGGATCTGTTTTGCCATGCTCTGGAATGAGCACACACACACAGTAGATTGCCTTCACAACCAGGCATGGCTGTGGTAAATGTAAAGCAGTCTCTGGTCAGCACTATTTCTTGCTTAGCTGATTCTCCAACTTTTGTTGCATTCAGAAAACTAGACCCGGACCCTGGAGGTGAGGACTAGAAGGCAGTCTTCCAGGCAAGCTTCAGCCTGTTTACACAGATTGAATCCTCTGGCCAGAGCAGTGGCCGGAAATGAACAGAATCCCTCAGACACCTGCAGCTCTGCCACCTACCTATCTCTCCCTCCACCAGGAGAGGCTTAACATACTGAGAAGCAGCTGGCCAGGCTGCCAGACACAGAGTCATGAAAATAGTAGCTCCTCAATCCAGCCTGCCTATGATTCATTTATCAAAGATGTCAGGGGCCGGGGATTTAGCTCAGTGGTTTCAGTGCCTGCCTCTGCAAGCGCAAGGTCCCAAGTTCGATCCCCAGTACCAAAAAAAAAAAAATCCCAAAGATGTCAGATGATGGGCCGGGTGTGGTGGCACACACTTGTGAGCCCAGCATTTGAGTTTGAGGCCAGCGTGGGTTACATAGTGAGTTCAAAGCCATCCTGAACTACATAGAGAGACCTTGTCTCAAAAAAAAAAAAAAGATGCCAGATGCATCTTTGACCTAGAAACACTCAGAGTGTATTTTCATCAAAAGGCTTTTTTTTTTTCAGATGAGTTGAGATGAGTCCTCCTTCAGTTGTCCAGGCTGGCCTCCAACTTTCAACCCTCCTGTTTCAGTCCTCTGAGCAGCTGGGATTACTGATGTGCACCACTGCACCTGGCTCCAGAAGAGGGTTTTTTTTGTTTTTTGTTTTGGTACCGGGGACTGAACTCACGATGCTTGTGAAGCAGGCAGTGGAACCACTGAGCTAAATCCCTGGCCCCCAGAAGAGGTTTTAAACTGTGTCACTTAAAGACTTTGTGGTAAGACTGGATTTTAAACGTTTTATGAATAAATCAAAGCGCAGAATTTTAAATCCAGATCACTATGAATTAAAAGGGATGGAGTGGTGGTTCGGTTCCGGAGCGCGCT